CATGTGAAATATCTAATCTTTGAGGGTATAAAATAAAAAAATTTAAATATTTTGGATGGTACAAAGTGTAATTGAGCCTCTTAGTTTGCTTTTCGTGGTTGAGATATCTTTAAATTTTATTTTAAAGTTAATCTGATGGTTAATATTAACACTCTGAATTTAATAGAAAAAATAGACTCCTAAGAGTATGTTTGAGATAACTTTTTTAAAATACTTTTAGAATTAATAAATTTTCATCAGTACTTTTAAAAAAAAGTAATATTTGAAACTGTACCAACCCCCATCGCCCTATTACCACCACCACAACTATCCCCCCAACCACTATTGTCGTCGCCACTACACCGCCATCTTTACTTCAACAACTATCACCATTGTCGCCACTCCACCACCACCATTGTCGTCACTCCCACCATTACCACTATCGCCACCCCACCGCCACTACCCCCATCGCCTCACCTCCATCGTCACCACCGCTGTCATCATCCTACCACCACCACCCCCACTGCCACACAACCACCATCACTACTGTCACCGCCACAACTGCTGTCACCACTCCACCACCACCATAGTTTTAAAATCTGGCCTGAACATCAATGCGGTAAAAAGATCGGGTCAATGGGTTATTGATTTAACCGTTAGGTCATTAGTCGAACCGGTTATATAATAAAAAAAAATAAAAAATTATTATTATTAATTATAAATATGCTAAAAAAAATAAAAATAAGTATTAAAATAACAGAGTTAAATACATAGCAAAAAACACACACAATCTATTGAGAAGAACAAATATGTGTATCAATGGCTGTTTCTCAACAATAAAAAAACATCTATCTAATGTAGACCAAAAAGGAAATGAATGCAAACTAGTAGAAAAGGAAATGAATGTAGACCAGAATGGAAAGGAAATGAATGTAGACCAGAAAGGAAAGGAAATATTCTACACCACGAATTACGCCAATTAAATCAAAATATTATCAAACATGTATCTAATTAAATGTTTAAGATTCATCAACTACACCAAATTGAATGCTCAAGATTCATCAACCACACGGTACCAATCATAACATATCGACAAAAAATAAGCTAAAATTTTCCAAAATTTTTATTGAACAAAGTTAATATTCATAAAATAAATAACCAAAAATTAGCAAAACAAAGCTACAATTACCAGTTCACCACCATCTGAGTGCAAAGAGACTGAGAGAAAGGTGAATGATGAACTACATGTTAAGTGAAGGAGAAGATATTGCCTTTGTTCGACACTTCAATTGGGAGAAAGAGAGAGTTAATTCGTTCGAGTTTGAGTTCGACTGAGAGGGGCTGCTCCGTTCGAGTTCGACTAAGAGAGAACTTGATTCATTCAAGTTCGACTAAGAGAGAGAGAGGGCTGATTCGTTCACCAATGAGACAAAAAAAGAGTCTCTCAGTTGAGAGAGAGGCAAAGGTTGAACGATTAGGTTAGGGCAAAAATGCTTAAAAGGGCAAAAATCTACCTTCAATAGTCTTTAAACTGATTCGTTCGGGTTGTCAATAACTGTTCGATTTAGTGGGTTTGGGCAAGAACCACCCGGTTCAATGGTTTTTGACCGAATTTTATGTTGAAATGATCTAATATACTACCCGGCCCGGTTTGGTGGCCGGTTTAGAGGTTCACCGGGTCAACCCAGAGGTCTGGACCGGGTTTTAAAACACTGATCACCACTACCCATTGTCCTACCACCACCATCACTACTGTTGCCACTACCCTACATCCCCCACTGCCCCAACCACCATTGTTGTCATCCCACCTCCACATCTTCCACATACAACCATTGCCCTATAACCACCATCGTTGCTGCCATCACCACCACAATTGTCACCACCACCCCATTACCACCATTACTGTCACTGTTCCACCATCACTCCCCCCACCACCCCCATCCCTCACCACCCCATATCCACCCATTATCATCACAATCGATCGTCGTTACTCATCACAATCATCACCGTCTTCACAACCATCATTACAATTGATGCTTAAATTTTTTTCTCTCTCTTTTATCTTTATAATTTGATTTTATGTGTGAATACAAATAAAGTTATTGTTGACTTTTTTTTTTATTGAAAGCACGAAAAATAACTAGTTAATAAATAAACGAGTCTTGTAATATATTTTTTTTAATTGATTTAATCTATACCTGATTCATTTATTAATCGTGTCATATTGTATTGACTCATTTACAAAATAGGTGAGTTCAAAAAAATCCAAATTCTTTAATTTCTTTCATGTCATATTTTAATAATCTTATATTCAGACCGGAAAGTGGGCTGATGGTTAATTATAAAATGCCCCTTTCAAATTTTTGGTGATATTTCAATTAACTCTCTCTAATTTCAATTGTAACAAATTATCCCCTCAAAATTTTAAAAAATTTCAAATAACTCCAACTGTTCTTTTCAAACAGTCAAAAGTAACAAAAATTAGTCATATGCAAGACATGTGATCCCAACACTTATGAAAAGACAAATTTACCTTTAACAAAATCCTCATAACATTTTTTTTCTAAGATATTTGTTGTATTTGTGATAACTACGAAATACAATAACTTTTATATCCAAAAACACCCTTTTGTCCAACTCAACAGTCAACACCTTCACCCACCACCGCACTACACCAAGCATCGTCACAAAGCCTGCCAGATCATGGCTTCCTTGTTTTGGCAGGAGTGTCGTGTTGTATTTCTGTGACCCACGTATCATGTTATTCGTATTATTTCATTATTATTTGTATTATATTCTTGTTAAAATTCACCAAAAAAAAAAAAATTATTTAGTGTGTTTTGAGTATTAATCATTAGTTTAGACTATTTATTATGTTTACTTAATAATTATGTTAATTTTATAATCGTTTGTGTTGGATTTATACAGAGTCGGTCCAATAGTATGGGAAAAAAAATATGGGCTTTAGCCCCAAATTTTTAGAAAGCCCTATAATTTTAGGTACATCACTAGCCCAAAAAAAAAAAATTAAATCCATTAAATTTTAAGCCTTACAAAAAAATCCAAAAAATTAAATCTAATCAAAATTTTTATTACAATAATTTAGGCCTATAATTTAATTCATAACATTAAAAACTTAGAAATTAAAAAAAAAAAAAAAAACTCAAAAATTAATTCATATTTACTCTCATCCACTTTCTCTCTGTGGTAAAATAAATTAATTTTTTTAAAAAAATAATACTAAAATAAAAAGGCNATGGTAAAAAAATAAATAAATAAAAGTTAAAATCTTTTTCTTTACAATATTAACACATCCTTTTTTTATCTCTCTCTTACATAGAAAATTAAAAATAAATTAATTTTTTTAAAAAAATAATACTAAAAATAAAAAGGCTTACATTTAATGTTTCCACTTTAAACTTCAAATTGTCTTAAGCTGTCCCTGGATTTGTGTTAACAAGTCAGAGTTAACACCCCTACTTTTTAGAAATAATATTGTGTGTAATTGTTACACTACGTTAGTGTCATGTGTTGAATCGTATACTAATAGTAACCATCTACTAATGATAAGCGTCTACTAATAAGTAAACAAGTCTTCCAGTGAGTCTTATTAAAACTCATAACTATTTCTATGATAGAAAGGGAGCATAATTTTATNAAGTAAACAAGTCTTCAAGTGAGTCTTATTAAAACTCATAACTATTTCTATGATAGAAAGGGTGCTTCATTTTATTCTTTTTTTATTGATGGTTACATCCAATATTTACGCCTCTTCCTAGCACATTAATGAAAACCAACACCACATAACCCAACAACAAGTCACACACACACACACACACAATCAAGCATCAACACACAACCAATTCTCTCTTTGCGTCTCTCTTTCTTTCTTTGAATTTATCAATTTTATTTATAGTACAATAAAACTTAGCATAGATCACAAGTTACAGCCATAAATTTCCACATAATTCTCATTTCTCTATAAATATTCATTTGTAATTACCCCCTTCCATTGAACCCCCCACCATCCCCTAAACCATTTATATTTCAATTTTAGTTTTTGCAAACCCTTGATATCTATATCTAAATAGATATATAGGTGTAGAAAGGAATGAAGCTATGTATGAGAGAGAGAGAGAGAGAGAGAGAGCCATTTGGAGGCGAATTGTTTTGTAATTTGCAATTGGGTGTGTGCGTGTTTGATGGGTGGATAGATGCGACAATAATGGTTCGTTGGTGGGTAGAGAATATGTATGCGTGCGTGTGTATGAAAGAGAAAAAGAGAGGGTTTTCACCAAGGAAAATTGGTGGTGAGGAAATTGGTTCACGGCGGAGGGAAGAGAGATTTCCATTAGAGAAGAAGGTGAATAAAGGACCGGCAACGAGTTCAAGCAATGTCTTGGAGAAAAACTGGGAGATTTATACATGACAGAAAAAAGTTTTGATTAAGGGTAATTTTGGCTTTTTAATGAATCTTAGATCACGTGAATTGCACGGGACTAATTTCTATGACGTTTGACCGTCGAAATTAACAGAATGAGTTACTTGAAAAAATTTCAAACCTTGAGGGGTAATCTGTTAAAATTGAAACCAGAGAGTGTCAATAGCAACATTACCCAAATTTAAAGAGGATATTTTATAATTAACCAAAAAAAAAAAAAAAGACCTGGGTGGCATTTCCGTTATTTTCGAAGACGAGGACGGTTGTCAAACAACTCGTAACAAGCACAGCCGAACAGGCACCACCTAGCTTCTGAGTAAATATTGGTTGTAACGGCTCATCTACGGAACATTGGAAAAGGAAGTTTCCCCTCTCTCTCTCCAGCAATAAAATCCTCTCCGCAAAATCAACCTCAATTCAACCTTTTCCCATCGTCACGCTTCTCTCTCTCTCTCTCTCTCTCTACAAGCATATACGTCCAATCAGGCAATCACATATATTGTTGATAGATCTTCTTTCTTTCTTTCTCTACTTTCTGTCTCTCTCTACTCGAAGCGCTAGGGCTTGGTGAGAGAGAGAAATGGGGCAACAGTCACTGATCTACAGCTTTGTTGCACGGGGGACGGTGATCCTCTCAGAGTTCACCGAATTCACGGGGAATTTCACCAGCATAGCCTCACAGTGTCTTCAAAAACTTCCGGCGACAAACAATAAGTTCACCTACAACTGCGATGGCCACACCTTCAACTACCTCGTCGAAGACGGCTTCAGTGAGTAATCGCTTCTAATTCATCCCACGAGGCTCCGATCTAGTTGTTGATCGTTTTCGTTGCTTTTATTTAATTGAAAATCAATGAATTCTGAACTTTCGATGATCGAGTTTATCACTACTTGTCCGCCCCTATAGGTTTTACTTTTGGTTTGATTGTTTCTGCTGTTTATCTGTTTTATCCATTGGTTGATGGGGAATTCTGGTCGATCTTAGTTGGAAAACGGAGATCTCGATTGATTGAGTATGAATACGAGTTTGCTGGCTTCGTTAGTATTAGTTCTATGTTTATCCTCTTTTTGTTCTGAAAATTGACACTAAATTTAGCCCGATGCTTCCGAAGTTATTTCATTTCCTCTAAAAAGGAAACCCTGCGGGAGTGTTTTATTCTTTCACCTGGATTACTACCATGAGTTATTTAATTTTCTTCTGGTATCCGGATTTCTGAGCTTATATACTCAATTAGTAGGATCAGTTTTGAGCGTAGCATTGCTATATATCCAAACGGATCTCATTAGTTGCAGACTGTTTCTTATTTCTCTCCCTGGCATTAATGAGACATGGTCATGCTGAAATAAGAAACTGTGTCGTTATTTATTTATTTTTTGGGGCCAAATGGTAAAATATTGCTTGTTACACTTTAGTGTGCATATATAAATTTTATGCTTTGGGTTCGGGTGCTTGGTCAATCATTTTTCATGTTCTAATACTTGGCTTTCATGTCGTGATTTAATCTGAATCTATCAGCTTTGTTCTCTTTCCTTTACTCAGTTGCACTAACTTCAGGTATAATACTATGCAGCCTATTGTGTTGTTGCTGTTGAATCTGCTGGTAGACAGGTTCCAATGGCATTTCTTGAGCGAATTAAGGAGGATTTCACCAAGAAATATAGTGGGGGAAAAGCTGCCACAGCTGTTGCTAATAGTCTGAATAGAGAGTTTGGGTAAATTATCTTTCCCTTCTTACTCCTTTTTTCTTCTGTTCTTTTCTTTTCTGTCTTCCTTAGTTTTATGTCGTATTTATTTGTTTCTACCTTGCGATGCTAATCCTTGAAATCCTATGTGCTGTTCTCTTAAAATTATTCAATTCAATATAGGCCCAAACTGAAGGAGCAGATGCAGTATTNTGTGTATGAAAGAGAAAAAGAGAGGGTTTTCACCAAGGAAAATTGGTGGTGAGGAAATTGGTTCACGGCGGAGGGAAGAGAGATTTCCATTAGAGAAGAAGGTGAATAAAGGACCGGCAACGAGTTCAAGCAATGTCTTGGAGAAAAACTGGGAGATTTATACATGACAGAAAAAAGTTTTGATTAAGGGTAATTTTGGCTTTTTANCTGAAGTCAAAGGGGTGATGATGGAAAATATCGAAAAGGTGAGGCATAGTTGGTATTTCAGTTGGTACATTACATGCCCTTACTGTGGAGCTCTAGTGGGTTCTTTGCAGTCTTGAGATCTGGAAGGATTTGTAGAAAAGAGAAATTGTGCATTATTTGATCATAACAAAGTNCTATGACGTTTGACCGTCGAAATTAACAGAATGAGTTACTTGAAAAAATTTCAAACCTTGAGGGGTAATCTGTTAAAATTGAAACCAGAGAGTGTCAATAGCAACATTACCCAAATTTAAAGAGGATATTTTATAATTAACCAAAAAAAAAAAAAAAGACCTGGGTGGCATTTCCGTTATTTTCCAAGACGAGGACGGTTGTCAAACAACTCGTAACAAGCACAGCCGAACAGGCACCACCTAGCTTCTGAGTAAATATTGGTTGTAACGGCTCTTCTACGGAACATTGGAAAAGGAAGTTTCCCCTCTCTCTCTCCAGCAATAAAATCCTCTCCGCAAAATCAACCTCAATTCAACCTTTTCCCATCGTCACGCTTCTCTCTCTCTCTCTCTCTCTCTACAAGCATATACGTCCAATCAGGCAATCACATATATTGTTGATAGATCTTCTTTCTTTCTTTCTCTACTTTCTGTCTCTCTCTACTCGAAGCGCTAGGGCTTGGTGAGAGAGAGAAATGGGGCAACAGTCACTGATCTACAGCTTTGTTGCACGGGGGACGGTGATCCTCTCAGAGTTCACCGAATTCACGGGGAATTTCACCAGCATAGCCTCACAGTGTCTTCAAAAACTTCCGGCGACAAACAATAAGTTCACCTACAACTGCGATGGCCACACCTTCAACTACCTCGTCGAAGACGGCTTCAGTGAGTAATCGCTTCTAATTCATCCCACGAGGCTCCGATCTAGTTGTTGATCGTTTTCGTTGCTTTTATTTAATTGAAAATCAATGAATTCTGAACTTTCGATGATCGAGTTTATCACTACTTGTCCGCCCCTATAGGTTTTACTTTTGGTTTGATTGTTTCTGCTGTTTATCTGTTTTATCCATTGGTTGATGGGGAATTCTGGTCGATCTTAGTTGGAAAACGGAGATCTCGATTGATTGAGTATGAATACGAGTTTGCTGGCTTCGTTAGTATTAGTTCTATGTTTATCCTCTTTTTGTTCTGAAAATTGACACTAAATTTAGCCCGATGCTTCCGAAGTTATTTCATTTCCTCTAAAAAGGAAACCCTGCGGGAGTGTTTTATTCTTTCACCTGGATTACTACCATGAGTTATTTAATTTTCTTCTGGTATCCGGATTTCTGAGCTTATATACTCAATTAGTAGGATCAGTTTTGAGCGTAGCATTGCTATATATCCAAACGGATCTCATTAGTTGCAGACTGTTTCTTATTTCTCTCCCTGGCATTAATGAGACATGGTCATGCTGAAATAAGAAACTGTGTCGTTATTTATTTATTTTTTGGGGCCAAATGGTAAAATATTGCTTGTTACACTTTAGTGTGCATATATAAATTTTATGCTTTGGGTTCGGGTGCTTGGTCAATCATTTTTCATGTTCTAATACTTGGCTTTCATGTCATGATTTAATCTGAATCTATCAGCTTTGTTCTCTTTCCTTTACTCAGTTGCACTAACTTCAGGTATAATACTATGCAGCCTATTGTGTTGTTGCTGTTGAATCTGCTGGTAGACAGGTTCCAATGGCATTTCTTGAGCGAATTAAGGAGGATTTCACCAAGAAATATAGTGGGGGAAAAGCTGCCACAGCTGTTGCTAATAGTCTGAATAGAGAGTTTGGGTAAATTATCTTTCCCTTCTTACTCCTTTTTTCTTCTGTTCTTTTCTTTTCTGTCTTCCTTAGTTTTATGTCGTATTTATTTGTTTCTACCTTGCGATGCTAATCCTTGAAATCCTATGTGCTGTTCTCTTAAAATTATTCAATTCAATATAGGCCCAAACTGAAGGAGCAGATGCAGTATTGTGTGGATCATCCAGAGGAGATCAGCAAGCTTGCAAAGGTGAAAGCTCAGGTTTCTGAAGTCAAAGGGGTGATGATGGAAAATATCGAAAAGGTGAGGCATAGTTGGTATTTCAGTTGGTACATTACATGCCCTTACTGTGGAGCTCTAGTGGGTTCTTTGCAGTCTTGAGATCTGGAAGGATTTGTAGAAAAGAGAAATTGTGCATTATTTGATCATAACAAAGTTTGAGTTTGCAGGTGCTTGATCGTGGAGAGAAGATTGAGCTTCTGGTGGACAAAACAGAGAATCTTAACTCTCAGGTTGGTGAATGCCAATGCTTATGTTAAAAAAAATTCATCTATGTGAGCATGGTTTCTTATATTTGGTTGTTGTTGACATTTAAGCAGGGCACACCTTCTTCATCTGTTTAATTTTGGTGCATTGTGGCCAGTATTATGAATATAATTTCAGAAAACCAAAGAGATTTTGTGGCTGGCTTTTTTATATTTAGAATGTTATTAAAATGAACACGACATAGATTTGTCCTACTATAATGTTGAAACCTAACGGAGTAAGACCTGCATCCAACTAAAGTTTGATAGCNGGTTGTCAAACAACTCGTAACAAGCACAGCCGAACAGGCACCACCTAGCTTCTGAGTAAATATTGGTTGTAACGGCTCTTCTACGGAACATTGGAAAAGGAAGTTTCCCCTCTCTCTCTCCAGCAATAAAATCCTCTCCGCAAAATCAACCTCAATTCAACCTTTTCCCATCGTCACGCTTCTCTCTCTCTCTCTCTCTCTCTACAAGCATATACGTCCANATGCGCATTTAGTTTTGCAAATCACCATCAAAATTGGATAGCTTAAACTTTTCCTTCTTTAAGCAGCAATGGCATCTCTTANCTGCGCATGTAGTTTTGCAAATCGCCATCAAAATTGGATAGCTTAAACTTTTCCTTCTTTAAGCAGCAATGGCATCTCTTAATTCATGAAGATCTTTGCATAGGGATCATGTTCAAGTTTTGAAAATGTGTCAGAGGATTGTACATTTTTGTTTATATCCTTGCCTCATCTTCTTTTGAACAGTGCCCTGTTGCAGGATTTCTTTGTTTGCCAAGTTTTTGTATGATGTTATAACATGGTTATGCATTGGTCCGATGTTGCAGGCACAAGATTTCAGGACACAAGGAACCCAGATGAGGAGAAAGATGTGGTTGCAGAACATGAAGATAAAGCTGATAGTTTTGGCTATTATTATTGCCTTGATTCTCATCATAGTCCTGTCGGTTTGTGGTGGCTTCAAATGTCATTAGTGCATGGGTCCTGTATTGATCTGGTCAGGTTGGGTATTCGCAAGAACCTGTGCTGCTTTATTCTTTACAATTAATTGTGTGGTTTGCTAAAAAAAATTTCGTGACTCTTCTCCCTTCTGCCATAGTCCTTTATTGTGAGACATTGCTTGTATAGTTTGTATTCTTGAATTCTTTTGATATACTACTAGAATATCCAGACACTGACGAAAGTTTGTTTTGCCATTTTTATTTCCTCTCTTTTTAGCTAGAAGTTGTCTTTTCCTTTTATACAACCTAAATTGTGAAAAAACTGTCTAATGGCATTGCAAAAAATATTGGCTGAGCTATGGACTTGTTTTGCTGCTGAGGTGATGTTTTCATTGCTTGCGGTGCTCATTGCCAAGTTGTCATATTAACTTACCCGAATTTGGATTACATATACTATGAATGTGAAAAGACGCACTGCAAGTTTCTTAATTCAGCGGGTTTCTTAACCCGCTGGATGGGTCATGGGTTGTCACGGCATATACTTGGAAAAAGGCAGAGGTGGTGATTTAAGGGGTGGTCAATCATGAAGCAGGCCGCACTGTTTGATTTAGGAGCGGGTGGTGTTTGATTCTGGAGCCAGGTTTGTCTGTTTGATCACCTCACAGTAGTCTGCTATGAGATATTGTTGCCGATGGGCACCTACACATCTCTGAGGCAAACAAAGCAAGAGGACGATCATAACAGCTCATTTATTTATTATATGCATCTTTATATACGTAGAGTGCACATCAGTGTGTGTGTATGTTGTCATATATGTGTTTAAGTTTCAACGAAGTGAGCAAATTTGAATAATAGAAAAGGGAAAAGGGAAAATTGCAAAAACAAATGTTAGAAAATAAAAGCAACATTTTAAAGAAACTATATTAATTTTCATTACCAGAGTAATATACTCCAAGGAAGTTGAACAATTTAATCAGATCATCTCCAGAAGATGAATATCTATGCTTTTCAGATTTTTCTGGAACTTAAGTTCGACCCATACGATAGGGCATCTTAATTAGGGTTGTTCACCCGAGCTGACTGGTAAGAAATAGTACATTTTCTCTTTCAAGCTGATGAATTGCAGAAGGTCAATTTCTTGGCTGATCCTACCCGATTGAAGGGGTAAATATTCTAAACGGAATTTCATCAAAAAAATCGGCATTGAAGTCAAGAATATCTCACATATTTTTAGTTTTTAAATTATTAATTTTTAGGTCATTTTTATAGTTAATTTAAAAATCATAGTAAATTATGTCAATAAATTAGGTCCCAATAATATTACTCTTTACAATTAGGCTATTAAAATATAATATAAGCATGTGTAAACTAACCCAATAATACTAAAGAAAACAAAATAAATTTGATAATATGAACATATAAAATGGAGTTTTACACCAAATATATAATTTAAAAAAATTATATATGTATACGGGTTAAGTGGGATTGCAAAATTTTTATGAGAGTCGCTTTTTTATCCGCGGTTTTACGAAATACTAAAATTTCTTTCATTGACTAGCCAAAATTTTGCGAAATTCTAATAATTGTATATGGTCGGGTAAGAAAAAGGATATGGAACGGATCGAATGGTGAAATTTTGAACAGCCCTAATCTTTGTGTATCGTAGTGTGCTTTAACAAGAATCCTCAATTGGCTCATTTTGCGTGCTTAGAATTTAAGGTTTAAGGTTTAGATTAACTTGTAAAAAATAGAAAGCAAAGCAAAAAAAAAAAACCTAGGATCACAATTAATTCATTTTTCCAACAGTCTCGAAATCTTATGTCTATACGAATTTACAATTACTTCCACAGACGCTTTATTTTGTACATCTGTTCTTGATAATGTATTTCTTCAATCCCTACCCATTATTCAACTTTATAAACCTAGCGGGGAAAAGCAGAAGTGAGAAATGGATTCAACAGGCCAACTGATCTCTAAATTGGGAGATTTCTTCAAAGATGGGAAGCCTTCTAGATCTATTGGGGGCCCATTCATTCATCAACTTGTCGAGCCCATCAACAAAATCATCTTCCAAACCGAGGCCCGGAAGGTTCAACAATAGAGGTGGAGGCTGAAATGATTCCAGCTCCATCAACAGTTCCTCTGCACGATTTCTCGACTTAATTTCTTTAGCTCCTGGAAGTTTACCATGCAATACGTCTTGAATTACTGAACGGGCTTCTTCATACCGGGCCTGTTTGATCAGACAAAGGCCCAGGTTGCAGGCCTTGTTGGCATCGGGATCTATCATCTGGGCTTTTCGATACACCACCTCTGCTGCCATATAGTTCGGTTTTTGCATATAGGCCCAACCCAAGTTCGCCTGTAACAAATGTCAATTCAAATGAATTAACAATACAGCCGTTCATAGTCGATAATAGTAATAAGGATTAATGGCACTTTGAGTTCTTAAAATATGTACGTTTGATCCCAATATCGTCTGAAAGACTAAAACATGATTATTTTTGTCAAAAAATTTTATGAATTGTCTGATTAAGGACCAAAGTAATACAAATTTAAATTGACAAAATTAATACAATAAGCACCAAATTGACAAAATAGGCATATTTTAGAGATTAATAATAATAAATAGTGGAACTATTTGCATTATATATATATATATATATATATATATATATATTAGTGACACCCGTGACTAAAGTTACTGTACACTGAATTATTACACTATACATGCATTGAAATTTGTGTTGAAGTGTGTACAGTTGTGCGTTGTAGAGTATGTGTTGGATTTTTGAAATTTGGGGAGAAAGTGTGTGTTGGGTGTGTAAAATTTGGGAGAGCAAATATATCTCTCATAAGTTCAAACTATCATCTGTTTAATTATATAGATAATGGAACTAGCTACACGTCACTAAAATGGCCCTAAATATGGCAATTAATCATCATCTAGCACTATTCATCCAGACATCTAGTGAGCATTACGACGTAGTCAAAAAACCAATGTTTTTTATTCGCGTCAACAAAATATTGCCGCTTGTTCTAAAAGCAAAAACCCCTTAGCACCCCGAGTTAAAATAGTATATATCTCATCTTCTATGAAACCTAAAAATCTAATTTACTATGCTATAAAAAAAAAAAAAAAAGCATACCAAGATCCTGGAAGATTCCTGTTTGATGGAGACCCGAAACTTCTTGCCATGAGAGCGTGCGGTCTTTGTAGGTTTTCCATTGAAGGCCTCTCCCTGATAAATCAACCTCAGTTTCTGTTTTAGCAACGCTATTTGTTCATCGATTTTTCCACATTTCTGCATATAATGCACAGTTAGAAATCACTGCACGAATAAACTGATGAATCCAATTTCTAAATCACATTAAATGGTATACATAATATAATACGCGAGATTTCTATCACTACAATAAGATCTAAAAAGGCTCATCTATATGTAAGTCTACCATGACTAGAAAGATCACCGCGAACTTTGAAGCAAGTTGGAATATCACATGTGAGAAAAACACATCAATTAAAAAAGTGTTGAAAGGATCCTAAAATGCCTTTAATAGGGCTTATCAGATTCCTAATAGGACAATTAGAGATTTAGTACTATCTAAATAGTCCTAGGTATTATATTTTATCTCTATATCTAGTGTGCCAAACCATTGGATAGTATTGCATTTAGTTTCATCTATTTTTCTATTTTCAATTCATATCTTTCGTATTTACGCTAAAAAATAAATAAATCGAACAAAGCATAATATGTAATATGGTTACTTACCAAATATATACATATATATATATGTGTGGGTGTGTGTGTGTGTGCGCGCGCGCGCACGCGTGCAGGTGCATGTATGTGTGTATTGTGTTTATGTACCTTATATAAGTCGACGAGGACATTATCAAGTGATTCTTGGGATTGTTTAGAGCATAGGCTTCTAAAAGACTTGATAGCTTCAATGGCCTCTTCAGTCCTTTCCAATTGCTTCATTACCACGGCCATGTCCTTAAGAGCACTCTCTACTTTATCTCCTGCATTTATAGCCTTCCAAAACAAAACTATTGCTGCTTCTGGATCTTTCTCAACCAACTGAACTTCCATGCAAAATTGGAAACGAAATCAAAATTCAAAGCAAATATCTCATAATCTATCGTGAGACCGATCAATAGCGCAAAAAAAAAAATTATAATAATAATACAATGTGGTCTTAATTCCGTGATCTAATGACCCGCTACTATTGGATTTAATAAAAATAAGTTGTAAACTCAGGCGACCTAAGTTTGAATTTTGACAATTTCTTAGGGTTACGACATGAAAAATTCATCTTTCATGAATACCCTAATTTTCGTATGGATAGTCTGCCATTGAACGGAGTGGAGGGAATCAGTCGAGGTGCGTGTAAATTAGTTCAGATATCCCTGACCGTTAAAAAAAAAAATAGTGTACCTAATTATAAAACTAATTTTCCAAACTAAATACTGAGAACCATTAATCCTCGTGTAAAACACTGTGAACCATACCGATGAATATGTTTATTTAATGTCAGACAATGATTGGCTCGAAACAAAGTTGTTTACTTATTGAAGGGTAGCTTCAAGATTAAAAGAACATCATAAAGGAAGTACAATAAAGTTTGAATGGTAGGAATATCAATCTCATATAATGAAAGAATTTCCCACATAACTAAAGCAAAAAAATATTACCATGATCCTTGAAACAAATCTAAATCAACTGTCAAGATTTATATGTTCAAACATTTGGTGTCTTTCTATGTGAACGTTTCTTGATTCATATAAACTTATGAAATTACATTAATGGTGTCAAAATATGACACGATTTATTAACGCGATATGAATATCAGGGGCGGAGTCACTCTTGGGCTAGGGTGGACATATGTGCCCCCTTAATTTTTTTTTTTCTTTCATATTAGACATGTATTTTTTGAAATAAAACTTAGATGTATGTAACTTCTCGAATAGTGTTATTGACGTAAAATCCGAATGCATTATTAAAATTCTAATTAAAGGGATAAAATAGTAATTAATTGTTAAAGCAAGGGTCAAAAACGTGAATTTTTATAAAATTCAGATGACGAAACAGACTTTACCGTTATATTTGTCTTGTGAAATCTAGCTATCCGGTAAATTTAAAATTCTAAAATAGTTGAATTTTCACGTGTTACAAAACGATCGGGTGTCGCGCGACTAAAATAATTACGATCAGATTTTATTTACGGTATCTAAAAAATATTTTAAAGTTAATTCAATAAAAATATATTAAACTTAACACAAGACAAAATTTAATTGATTTGAAATAAAATTAGACCCATTAAAATTGAGCGTGTAACGGTAAAAGTATACGAAGGGAAAGACTAAAAGTCTTCCGCTCACTTTTTATGCCAAGTCTCGGCAGTAAGAGACAAAAGGGAGAGAAAAAGAAAAGAAAAAAAGGGAAAGAATATAACTTTTTTTCCCAGATCTACGAGAATTGAACTGTTTAATTACTTCAGGTTAAAAATTAAAATTGTTCTACACAACGAGAGTTACACAATTACACCAAAAATTATATTTTTCTTCAAAAATATCAAAATAGACTTAAGACTTGGGAAGTTAAATTTGAATTTTCCTTAAAGGTTTACTACGTGAGCTCACGCTACAAGAGGTAAAATTTTTCCTATTTAGATGTAATTTCAACCTAAAATATGATATATAAAATTGGTAAATAAAGAGTGTATATCACATGTTAGGTCTTGACTTATTTTATTTTTTTAATTCAAATTGGTTTTGATTTCCACCAAAATCAAAACATTTAGATCATTTTGTTTTTAATCTTTAATTTGATAAAAAGCTCTTGAAGTAGGGAAGCACACCTGAACATGCTTGGCTCGAACATAAGGACCATCACCAGAAGGAACCTTGTGAATCACATGAGAGAGCTTCTTCTCTTTCTTTCCTCTACTCATCTTCATTGAACTGCCTTCCATCCACCTCTCTCTCTCTCTCTCTCTCAAAAAAAAAAGAAGCTGGTAGGGAGTGGACTAACAACCATGCACTGTTTTCAGAGCTCACCTATCATTAGCTTGGAAGGGGAGAGAGAGATCGGTGGGGAGAGTGGCTTATAGTATATATATACATATATATTTAAACACGCACACAATGTATGTGGATAACAATGAACCTGGACGACAATCCGTCCACATGAAGGTGCGGTTAAGAGGTGATTGGAGTTTAATTTGTCGGGATAAGGTCCAATAATACTCAGTTTCTTGTTATGAAAAACAAAATAATAAAAAAAAATAACCTTCGACGGTTATAAACAGTTTGTTTGGTTCACTGCTTGTCTATATGGTCCTTATTGTTAAGGTTAGTTGTATAAGAGGTTTTTAAAGTATAAGATTTATCTTATTTTGATTTTTAATATTTTAATTATATTATTTTAGTCTTTGAAATAGACAATATCTAGATTATTAACGATTTTTTATTATAAATTTGTCAGATGATACTTAAATATGGACAAAAAAGTAATTTAGATAATTTTTGACCAAACTTTTACTCAAATTTTAGTTTAATAGCTACCTAAATTACACAGTTTTGATCATAAACTATCCCAATTTTGATCAAAAATTACTCATATTGCACATTTTTTTGTCAAGAGCTACCCAAATTTTATGTAAGAGCTAATAAAATTATTTTTTTTTCATATTTAAGTATTATATGACAAGTTTATGATAAAAAAATTATTAGTAATCTGAACGTTATCTGCTTGAGGGACTATATAAAAACATATTTAATACTTCAATGATCAAAATAATGCAATTGAAACATAAGTAACCAAAATGAGATAAGTCTTATACTTTGGGGACCTTCAATGTAATTAATTCTTATTGTTAAACAAATATTTATTATAATAGTGATACTACGTCAACATTACTATGTTGTATTACCAACTAATAATAGACAGACTCCACACAAGTTAATAACTATCCACTCTATGTAAACAGATAACTATCTAGTATCTACTCTTCTTTCTTGTCGGTCAATAACAATCCTAGTGAGATTCACTTTACTCATTTAAGATTTTATTATTAGTTGGCGATATTATGTCATTAATGCTGACATAGTATCACCGTTATATTAAATATTTTCTCGTCATTATCATGCAATGTTGTCATTCAATAAAAATTTATATATAAGTGGGCGGAGTGAAGTCCACTTCTTTACACAGTAATTATTATCTTACATGGTGAGAGTAGTTATTAAATTAAATGGGTCGATCCATTTATTTATATATTGGTTTATTAAAAAAAAAACAAGAGACATAACTTTCTCTTCGTTTGAAAGTTTGTTTGGTGAAAAAAATGGAAGGGGGTAATTTTTTTTTGTGGGAAATTAAAAAATGAATGATAGAAATTATGAGGAATAGACTCTTCATCTTCAAGGAAAGAAAATTATTTTTTTTTCTTTTTGTTTGTTATGAAGGATGAAAAAATAAGAGAAATAAATTTTTTATTATTTTATATGGTATGAAAAGATAAATGAATATAAAAAAAAAAACATGACTTTGTTGTAGACCCCACTAATTTAGTCCACATGTACATAGAAAATAACAAAATAGGTGGGCCACACTTAATTTTTCTTTCAATTTGTGTTTTTAAAATTTGTCACTTTAAAATGGTAATTTCAAAGAACTTTTGCACCAACTACCTTCTTCCGTCCACTTTTTATTTATTTTTGGAGTGATTAAAAATGGTGGGCAAAAATGATACATTTTCCACACAATCTCCTCCTTTCCCCTCAATTTTCTTTCGGTACCAAATAAAAGAAAATGTCAATTTTCATTCGCCCTCTTTTCCAACCAAACCAAATAGGCCATTAAAATCATGACAAACTTAATGTTGTATTTGATAAGGTGGATAAAAAGTGGAAGTGATATATTTTTTATTTTTGGAGTGATAAATGCTTCCTTTCCTCTTTTATATTTGGTAAGAGATATAGAAAGTAAGAATGATTAATTTTATTGAAAGAAAATCTAATTCATCAATTTTTTTATCCTTCTTATTTTTATTATTATTATATATATATATATATAACTTTTTAACTTTTCAAATTTCTACTTTTTTATTTTCCAATCTTACCAAACAAACAAAAGCATAAAGGACAAAGAATTTATGAATCTAGACAACTACAAGTTCAACATAGAGGGACCAATGAAGGATACAAAAATATAAAACCAGAGCATATATATCTCAGAGTCCCTGCCACTGCCATTGAATCTGGACATCCTATGAGATGGATTCACTCTCTCTCCCTTCCTCCCCAAAAGAAAATTGCCATCCAAGGATTTCGAGAAAAATAAGGAGCGTAATCTATGCATGGATCCGCAAACAATTCTACTTAGACCTAATCATCTGTTATCAACTTTATTTATCAGAGATCCATTGTTGATGTTGAACTGCAATAAACTTCGTATAATATTCGAGCATGACGGAAAGGGTTCCTAAAGTTTGCCAATTAGGTTCTAGGCATATACACAGGAGAAACCACCCCNCATATTTTTCTTCAAAAATATCAAAATAGACTTAAGACTTGGGAAGTTAAATTTGAATTTTCCTTAAAGGTTTATTACGTGAGCTCACGCTACAAGAGGTAAAATTTTTCCTATTTAGATGTAATTTCAACCTAAAATATGATATATAAAATTGGTAAATAAAGAGTGTATATCACATGTTAGGTCTTGACTTATTTTATTTTTTTAATTCAAATTGGTTTTGATTTCCACCAAAATCAAAACATTTAGATCATTTTGTTTTTAATCTTTAATTTGATAAAAAGCTCTTGAAGTAGGGAAGCACACCTGAACATGCTTGGCTCGAACATAAGGACCATCACCAGAAGGAACCTTGTGAATCACATGAGAGAGCTTCTTCTCTTTCTTTCCTCTACTCATCTTCATTGAACTGCCTTCCATCCACCTCTCTCTCTCTCTCTCTCTCTCAAAAAAAAAAGAAGCTGGTAGGGAGTGGACTAACAACCATGCACTGTTTTCAGAGCTCACCTATCATTAGCTTGGAAGGGGAGAGAGAGATCGGTGGGGAGAGTGGCTTATAGTATATATATACATATATATTTAAACACGCACACAATGTATGTGGATAACAATGAACCTGGACGACAATCCGTCCACATGAAGGTGCGGTTAAGAGGTGATTGGAGTTTAATTTGTCGGGATAAGGTCCAATAATACTCAGTTTCTTGTTATGAAAAACAAAATAATAAAAAAAAATAACCTTCGACGGTTATAAACAGTTTGTTTGGTTCACTGCTTGTCTATATGGTCCTTATTGTTAAGGTTAGTTGTATAAGAGGTTTTTAAAGTATAAGATTTATCTTATTTTGATTTTTAATATTTTAATTATATTATTTTAGTCTTTGAAATAGACAATATCTAGATTATTAACGATTTTTTATTATAAATTTGTCAGATGATACTTAAATATGGACAAAAAAGTAATTTAGATAATTTTTGACCAAACTTTTACTCAAATTTTAGTTTAATAGCTACCTAAATTACACAGTTTTGATCATAAACTATCCCAATTTTGATCAAAAATTACTCATATTGCACATTTTTTTGTCAAGAGCTACCCAAATTTTATGTAAGAGCTAATAAAATTATTTTTTTTTCATATTTAAGTATTATATGACAAGTTTATGATAAAAAAATTATTAGTAATCTGAACGTTATCTGCTTGAGGGACTATATAAAAACATATTTAATACTTCAATGATCAAAATAATGCAATTGAAACATAAGTAACCAAAATGAGATAAGTCTTATACTTTGGGGACCTTCAATGTAATTAATTCTTATTGTTAAACAAATATTTATTATAATAGTGATACTACGTCAACATTACTATGTTGTATTACCAACTAATAATAGACAGACTCCACACAAGTTAATAACTATCCACTCTATGTAAACAGATAACTATCTAGTATCTACTCTTCTTTCTTGTCGGTCAATAACAATCCTAGTGAGATTCACTTTACTCATTTAAGATTTTATTATTAGTTGGCGATATTATGTCATTAATGCTGACATAGTATCACCGTTATATTAAATATTTTCTCGTCATTATCATGCAATGTTGTCATTCAATAAAAATTTATATATAAGTGGGCGGAGTGAAGTCCACTTCTTTACACAGTAATTATTATCTTACATGGTGAGAGTAGTTATTAAATTAAATGGGTCGATCCATTTATTTATATATTGGTTTATTAAAAAAAAAACAAGAGACATAACTTTCTCTTCGTTTGAAAGTTTGTTTGGTGAAAAAAATGGAAGGGGGTAATTTTTTTTTGTGGGAAATTAAAAAATGAATGATAGAAATTATGAGGAATAGACTCTTCATCTTCAAGGAAAGAAAATTATTTTTTTTTCTTTTTGTTTGTTATGAAGGATGAAAAAATAAGAGAAATAAATTTTTTATTATTTTATATGGTATGAAAAGATAAATGAATATAAAAAAAAAAACATGACTTTGTTGTAGACCCCACTAATTTAGTCCACATGTACATAGAAAATAACAAAATAGGTGGGCCACACTTAATTTTTCTTTCAATTTGTGTTTTTAAAATTTGTCACTTTAAAATGGTAATTTCAAAGAACTTTTGCACCAACTACCTTCTTCCGTCCACTTTTTATTTATTTTTGGAGTGATTAAAAATGGTGGGCAAAAATGATACATTTTCCACACAATCTCCTCCTTTCCCCTCAATTTTCTTTCGGTACCAAATAAAAGAAAATGTCAATTTTCATTCGCCCTCTTTTCCAACCAAACCAAATAGGCCATTAAAATCATGACAAACTTAATGTTGTATTTGATAAGGTGGATAAAAAGTGGAAGTGATATATTTTTTATTTTTGGAGTGATAAATGCTTCCTTTCCTCTTTTATATTTGGTAAGAGATATAGAAAGTAAGAATGATTAATTTTATTGAAAGAAAATCTAATTCATCAATTTTTTTATCCTTCTTATTTTTATTATTATTATATATATATATATATAACTTTTTAACTTTTCAAATTTCTACTTTTTTATTTTCCAATCTTACCAAACAAACAAAAGCATAAAGGACAAAGAATTTATGAATCTAGACAACTACAAGTTCAACATAGAGGGACCAATGAAGGATACAAAAATATAAAACCAGAGCATATATATCTCAGAGTCCCTGCCACTGCCATTGAATCTGGACATCCTATGAGATGGATTCACTCTCTCTCCCTTCCTCCCCAAAAGAAAATTGCCATCCAAGGATTTCGAGAAAAATAAGGAGCGTAATCTATGCATGGATCCGCAAACAATTCTACTTAGACCTAATCATCTGTTATCAACTTTATTTATCAGAGATCCATTGTTGATGTTGAACTGCAATAAACTTCGTATAATATTCGAGCATGACGGAAAGGGTTCCTAAAGTTTGCCAATTAGGTTCTAGGCATATACACAGGAGAAACCCCCCCCCCCCCCCTTTTTTTTTTCCCTTTTTTCTCTTTTCCCCCCGGAGGCCAAAAAAATAAATGCTTACAACCGTTTATAACTAAGCAATAGCATTTTAAGACATCAATGGGACTAGTAAAGCTTCAAAGGGAAACCCCCCAAAAAAAAATGAGATATTGGACAAATACAATAGCATATCTGGTCACAAGACTGAAGTGAATTCACTTATCAGAGATTGGCTACTTGCACTTGGCTAGATAAAAAGCAACAGAAGAAACAAGCTAGCTCACATCCATGTGATTAAAAACTGCCAAATCCTTGCTTAACAACCTTGAGGAAAATAAGCCACAATTCCATGCTTTCAAACATACTTCTGAGTATAACAACCACTAGGCCAAGGCAAAGCATTTGAGTAACAGCACACCAATCCCCAACTATGCCTGGTTGCCACCACCCCTTGGGCGGCTACCCATCTGTCCACGGCCACGGCTATAGCCATAACCATAGCCTCTGCCCCCACCTCCACCTCCACCTCCACCTCTGCCTCTTCCATACCCAGCGCCTGTCAAAAAATGCAGGAACTCATAGCTCAAGCTCAATATTTTAAACAAACATTCATACAAACTTGCACCATTCCAAAAACATATCACAATTCCTTTAGTTTCACAAAGAATGTGCAGCAAAAAGATAAATTCCCATAAGATATACAAGATATCAATGGGTTGCCTGGACATGAATATATTCTATCATAAATCTTCCACTAAATAGAAAGAAGAAGAGTAACTGGGGTTATCCTCCTTGGGATAACACAACCAATGTTGCATGTGAACATTATGCACATAAGTATTCAGTTTAGAAAAATACTAACCACGATAACCCCAACCGTTGCCGCGTCCACCACCTCGGCCCCAGTTCGAATACCCGCCATTTTCTATTAAAAATATAATGAAAGTCAAAAATAAATATAACTTGATCGTTTGCATGACAAAAACCAACGCTAAGGACAAATACCTTGATAGTTTCCATATCCACCCCTGCTCCAACCCCGCCCTCTCCCTCTACCACGGCCTCGTCCTCGCCCATAAGAATCTAAATAACAAACTAGGATATATTTCAATATAAACAGCAACTATAGTTCAACATGAATTTTTAATTCTGAGTCCTTTTGCAGACATAACCTTCATTGCCAGCATTATAGGTTGCCCGTGGTTGTCTAAGTTGTTGTTGTAGCTGTTGCTGTTGCTGTTGCTGATAATTGTATTGTGGCTTTGCTTGCTCCACATGGGATGGAGCTTGGTACCTGTGGACAAACATTTCTTTCAGAGTAAAGAATATACAGAAAAAGGAGAATCAAAGAGCCAGGAGATAAAAAAGAATTGCTTGCAGACAAATAACAGGACATGCATAAAAAGACCAAGAAAACCACAAAATGGGCCCAAAGATGCTAAATGAATTATGTCTTGCTAGTACCAGAAGAAAAGCTCAAGATGGCTAGTAAAAAAACAGCCAGTTTGAGAAGGTATTTTAAATATATCTGAATAAGGGAACTTTTTCAGCATCAAACAGAAATAAATCTTCAATACTTCAAATCTGGTTTTAATCTTTGCTATCCAAACAGACATTCAAATTCGATGAACTAAAATTTACCCTGGAGAATTCTTGTTCATCTCCTTACTGGACAAGGTGATCGAAATCATTGAGACATGGCGAGTCTGCTCCACACTGCATTAAACATTAATATCCAAGTATCAGATGCACATTTTTTATATGTACATTTAGCTGGATAAGGCAAAACTAGAAACCTACCTTCCTACCCCCTACCCGACCTATGTGTGCATGCACACATGTCTGTGTATGGTATTGAGTGTGTGTGTGGTTTTGTGGAGAAGACCAGAAACTTACGGCAAAAGACCCTCTTCAATGGGTTCCCATATATCAGTTATGCTCACTGAACTGATGCCAGTATCTTGATGCAATTGTGGAATTCTCCTCTGTGGCAAGATAAGAAACTGAGTTACTTGTGCACATGAAAAACTAAAAAGAACAGAGCAATAAAAGTGAAGGTAATAACTTCAAATATAAGATGAACCAACCTTGAGCATTTCTGCAATTGCCACCGTCTTGCTTATTGCCTGCCCCATTGCTTTCAAGACAATCTCTCTCCCATGTCTCTCCTGAACAAAGAGCCATAAATTATAGTACGCAGCAGCTAATAAAAGCAAATAAACGAGAAGCAACATACAACCAGTACAGATCATGAAAAAAAAAATTTAATAAAACTCCACAAGCAAGCCCCCAAATGGTGTGTGATCGGATTGTAACGAGTTACAAGCACTATTCAATTGGCTACTTGAAGTAGTTTGTGGTTCATAGTGAATGACCACACCAACTTGCCAGGCCAATAGCATCACACTACTCTCCTAAATCCTAATTTTTCAAGAAATATTAGTTGAATAAACTTTTGCACAAAGCAACACTTGCTGACTCATCCATGACACTGGGTATAATCTTCAATTAACTGCAGGCCAGTTTGCCATATCAAAATGCTGCTTCTTGAGCATTTACAGGCATTTGGGGAAACAAAGTTACATGACCCGTCTATATGAGAAGATAAATACTAATCACAACTGCTCCCATTGTCTATACCTTTTAAGCCATGCTAGCACGATGGGCAACTGGTAAACATAATTTGTGAATTCTCCCACCAGTCAACAAATATCTTGTGTCTTACATAAATTAATTAAGTTTGAAAGTCAAAACCCTGAATGTGCTGCACAAATTAATCAAGATATACATATCAACTAAACAAAAGAAATTTGAGGCAAAACAAAAGCAATCATGGCTCCTAATGCCTGGCAAAGATTAAGATGTCCCAGATATGAAACAGCAACCTATTGTGATGCAGTAACTATACATAAGCATATTCAATTATCTATGCAAAGGGTACTCCAGCATGACAGTTGTTTTGATCACTTATCTGGATGACCATTATTGAGCAAATGCACAAAGTGTAACACAAAGGAAAACAAGAAATAAATTAGAAGGCCAACTGAAAAAAATAAGGTAAGTTGACTCAAAAGCTACAACAAGATGGAATATGAATTAATGTTCCCGACTCCATATGTAATCATCTAAATATGTATTTGTTTTCCCAATACATTTAGAGAATGTAACCAAAAAGGTTAAAATCATGCTACACACCTTCCATTAAAACATAATAGAATCAAACATAATGAAAGAGTTATATATGATAAGCAGACAAAACAACCCAAGGGAAAAGGAGGTACTAAGACAATACACAGGAAGTCGGTTAATCATTAGAGGACTTATAGTTGGCCCTGAAAGAGAAATATACAGTCACATACCTACAGAGAACACACAACTGAAGAATCAAACAAACCAACATTAAAAGGTCAAATGATGAGCAAGAACCATCCAAATCTCACAACTCCAACAAAACCCAGGAGTAAAAATCTAAATGATACCAGAAAACAAAGAGGTAAAAAACACGCACAACCTAGCTTTCTTTTTGAACACTAACAACTCAGTCTTGAGTGAATTTCAGGCAAACATATAAAGAATTGGCCAAAACTCAACAAAAAGAAACAAAAACCCTAACCCAAAAAATAAAAAGAAAAATTCTATACGATTACAACTCATAATAGTTTCAATATTCGTCCTACAAACATCCCATCAAGTAACCAAATATCCTAAAAAGAGAAACAAAAATAATATACCAGTAATCGTTGAATGCCATTAAAAAACTGCAAAAATAGACAAAACCCATTAAGGAAAAACACAAATGCAACCGATTAAGCCATCGAAAATTCATCTAAATCATCCAAGAGATAAAACAAAACCCGTGAAATAGAAACCACAATAAAACCCAATAAATCAAACAAAACTAAAATAAAACCAAGAAACCAAAAGATTAAGAATATTCATTTCCTGACTGAAGAAAGGAGAGTACCTGAAGTAGACTAGTGGCGTAGCTTATGTAGTTCCTGACCAAGCCCTGTGAAGTGATTCGGATTTCGTTCTCGTTAATGGGTGATTCTTGCTTCGGTTTCTGGACTTTCTGGTATCTATCCATGGCTATAATTCCTCAACGAGAGAGAGAGAAGAGAGAGAGAAGAGCGAGAGAAGCGATACAGCGAGAGAAAAACCCTAAGGCTAAACCCTTTGCTGCGAGTTCTTAACAAACCACACGGACCTTTTAAGCAACGATTTCTGGGCTATGATCTGATACGAAGCCCGTCTTTGTAGGAGCCTATCTATTTCTGAAAGGAACATCAAGACACGGGCAACCAGGTGACGTGAGCCACACCGAGGGTTAGGATTGGCCCATTATATATCTGGGTGGATTATGGTCAATTTAATCTAGACTCTTTCCGTTGGCTAAGATCCTTGACGACCACGCAACAAATCAATGTGACCTTCCTCTACGCGCCCAAGTTTTGTTATGCGTACGGGTGGCAACGATGCGACGTCGATTCCACTCCTTTTGAGTGAAACTCATTCATTTAAAGAAAATGAATTAAGTGTAAATAATATTTTTAATTTATTTTAAAAATAAATTCGTCAAACTCAGACACAAACTCATTCGTTGGACTGGTTTATCACTTATAGTTACGTGGTTTGTAGACCTGTTGTAATGATGACAACTTTACTCCATGCAATTTGATTATGGGATTGAAAAAAAAAAATATTGTATCACTTATTATTTTTTTGGTATTTATATTATTTTTTGAGTGAAGTTTACTATTGATCAAGAAAAAAAAGATTATTAATTTTTTACTTTTACAGAAAATGATTGCTCAAATAATAACAGGGACGAATTATAAATCTAGACCTCTTGAGTTTGAATCTTGATAACCCTTTGGATTTATGCTATAGGAAATTTATTTCTCATAATACCCTAGTCCCAGTATTAATAGTCTGTTTTTGACTGAACTTGTGAGAGAATTAATCGAAATGTGCATAAACTGATCTGAATATCACTAATCATTAAACCAAAAAAAAAAAAAACTAGCTTCTAATTGATAACGGATTATTTGGAAAGCTTGGAGTAAATCGTTATGTTCCATATATATGTGCTAATGAATTCATGAAATAATGGATGAGTAATGCTGCATTGATTTAAAAATTAGACTTGAATTCTTCTGAGAGGCACGGGGATGCCTCAAAAACAAAACGAAATTCTACAAAAACCTGCCCAAAATGTATGTGATAATCATCAACAAATCCAGGTAGATGAACTTGAAAATACTCCTTTCGTCTTCCTAATTGTAAGGCCAGTCTCATAGAAGAATACATATAACATCCTTGAATTGATGTTTACATTTAAGCCCTCTAATCTCCAGAAATGAACAAAAACTCATTCAGCAGTAACACTGATACAATTGCTAAGCAGTTGGTTCAACGATTGTAGACTTTCACACCTAATCTTCAAAGCTCTAGCACCACAACTGTCAAACACAAACAAGGTATATTAGAGAGTGTGAGTGCGTGTGTGTGTGTGTGTGTGAGAGAGAGAGAGAGAGAGAGAGGGTCTTTACATTCAGAGTCAGTAGTGATCCAATTTCCTCTTCTAGGATCTCTATGATGGATGGGAGTGGAGTTTAAAGAAGGCATGTCCATGGACTGCTCATTTTTCGTGAAGGAAGCCAATGAAATTGCGGAGAAAGCAGAGGAAGTGGTAGAGAAACTTCCCACATCCCATCTGAAACTGATCTTAGGAGAGTCATTGCTAAGTTGATCATCATATGGTACTGCCTTGAGTGTTGCTCTATTCCGAAAGTGTAAAACCTGAAAATTAATTCACAATCTTAACCATTTGACATGGGTCTACCCTTGGAAATTGTTTCAAAATTGCGTAGTGTTCAAATTGGTATAGTTGAAATATAAATACTCAAGTTTGACCTTCTCTAACAGCATAAACTTTTAGAGCAGTACCATTTCAGCCTGCTAATCAGGCCATCTAGATCTATGGGTAGACTTGTTCCGTAGGAAAATGTGATGGAAATATATTTTCGGGCTAAAGTACCAAAGAGGCAAGCATATAATTTTAGGGGAAAAAATTAACCTTTCGACTAATGTAGTTTCCTCCCTTCTCAGACCTGGCAGCAGCAGCAGCCCATCTCAATAGCTCCTTCATTCTGGAAATGGTTTTGGATTTGTCAGCCTTAGCCTTATCTTTATTTTCCACCATGGCACACTGCTCATTCAAGTTTGTTGGGGGTGATAGTGCTGCCTCACTAATTGGTAGAACTTTGTTTCCTCCAGGGCTAGCCATATCTGTCATGCGACTACTCCCTAGTCCTCGGAAACTATCTTCTTTCTTCATCTTCATGGATGAATCGAATGCTGTCTCCTGTGAAAGCTTCCCAATCTCTTTAGATTAGTTGTGCTACAAAAACAAGTCTTTGCTCAACTCCTTTTAGGCTTCGTTGAACCGGCCATGTTGAACAAAACGATGTCTTTTGATTCAACTTTTTCATATGAAAAGGGACCAAACAGATAAATGTAGTTAGTGAAATACATAAATTTTGATGGTATTTTTCACAGCAGAATGTGAATACTTTGAATCATACCACTAACACTAATTTTCTGTCTCTCTTTGTGATTCATGTGTTCCTTTGGATAGCCATGGCATGATCTGCTGTATAGGATTCATCATGAGAGACATCAGCTTTGATGGGAACGCAATCTACAGGATAATCCGAACTGAATATTACAAAACTCATCAGATTTGTATATATAAATGTATAAATACATTAGTATAAAAAGCACTCACCTGCATTTTATGGTTGATATTATTGAAAACTCCAAGCTATATAGTGTCAAGAGGGAGAGAGAGAGTGACTCTTCTGGTCAAATGAACAGCACAAAACAGATCTATCTGTGCTGTCTGTCTGCCCAAAGATTCGTCTGTATGTTACTCTATCAGGTCTTTGGAGACAATGAGAGACTTGGACTGAATCTAAGAAGATGGTAAGACAACCAAGCAGTGAGTGGGGGCTGGTTGGCTTGTGACTGTCATTGCAGGGGGGATTAATATAAAAGCTGATCATGTGGTGGGTAATGGGTATTAAGGAGTTCATAAATTAAGCAGTATCAAAATTGAGGGTTACCATTTTTGACAGGAGTCGAAAATGATGCAATTCATACCTGAGGTGGGTTACTGTAAAACATGAAAAATCCGAATTTAACAAAATAAACCAGTTTAATTACTATTGCTTGAGCCGTCAATCAACACCTTTTAATTTTGTGGTTTCGTATACAGTTTGGAATATCAATTACACGAAAAAAAGAATAAATTATGAAACGAATAAATAAAAAATTGGTAAATTCCCAAAGTAAAATTGTATACTTTGTGGGGAAAAAAATAGCAAAAATGGGGAACATAAAATATGTACTCGGTCTCACTACTTCCGAGGAAAAGATTTAGGNTCAAAAAAAAGAATAATTTATGAAACGAATAAATAAAAAATTGGTAAATTCCCAAAGTAAAATTGTATACTTTGTGGGGAAAAAAAAAGCAAAAATGGGGAACATAAAATATGTACTCGGTCTCACTACTTCCGAGGAAAAGATTTAGGAAACCTACCCTTTTCAATTTCTTCATTCTTAATTTTTTATTTATTAAATTAAAAAACATAAGATTATTGTTCAATTACATTGTTTTCGGGTGCCCATTTAATACAGGGGATATGTTAATAGCATTGTAATATAGCAGTAGTAGTTTATGATATTAATAGAATTTTCAAATAACATTGCTCCCACCAGGGTTCACATGGGGCTGAGTGAGTCGGGCTACGCTTCGCTAATATTATATCGTACAAATATAAAATAGAATAGGAATCCTAATTGGTTGGGAATACATGGGGCTGAGTACTCATAAATTTCATTTATGATCACAAATAAATCAGACGCTTCAAGGGCAATCTCCTCCTCCTCTTTTTGCCAATTTCCCATTTTTCTAATCCTATTTTGTACAATGAATAAATGTAGAACATCAACATTATACCACCCCAACACATTTATCATCTGTGTAGTTACATCCCATCTTTGTTATAACTGACATGACAATATAAATGGAATCGGACGTGTGGGAAACATGCATTCTCCCATGAATATGTAGCAGACTTTCTTGAGGGTCAGCAATTTCATCAGAACGAAGAAAGGNTAGAGTTACATCCCATCTGTGTTATAAATGACATGACAATATAAATGGAATCAGACGTGTGGGAAACATGCATTCTCCCATGAATATGTAGCAGACTTTCTTGAGGGTCAGCAATTTCATCAGAACGAAGAAAGGGCCATCATGCTCATTCTGGATCCGGGGAACCACCAGGGACCAGCTGCATTAAGCACAATGTTTAGCCTAATTGATGAAACAGTAAAAAGTGGTTGGTAATGTTTTGTGGCACGTAGGGTTTACTTGCATGATGACAAACAAAATGGAAAGAGGTTCAGGCTTATAGATAAAAGCTAAAAACTCGTGGCAGTGTCAGCAACTGACTAGCTAATGGTAACCACAAAACACATCCATGTGTATATATACAATGCTGGTTTATACATTTTTAGACTGTTCGCCGAATCACCGATGCATACAGTTAATGCTTTAGTTTATGTCCAGCTGTTTTTTGGATTTCTGAAGTTTCCTTTTACATTTTCTTATATTTATTTTACAGTTTGTTCCTCTTCTCAATCCTAGATTGAAAATGACCTAACCCATCGTTTTCCTTAGTTCTACACCGACTTCCCCTTTTTATATTACCAGCTGGATCAGTTGAAGTTGGTCATTTTCGGTTCAAAGGCAACAATCAGCAGTTAAACACAAATGCAGAACACCTAGTTGGATTTGAAAGAGCCGAGGATTGAAGCTATGTCAAAGTGGAAAAGAAGCAAACAAAGAAGTCGATGTACATAACGGTAGATGGAATGGGAGATATTAATGCATTGCCAAACTTTATTAGAGAAGGGCTTGTCTCCTGGTATCTTTCTCTTTCAACTGCCCACTAACTTGCACTTAAAAACTCTTTCACACACATTTAATCACCCAACTTAACCATCCTCTTTCAAATAAAACTTATCAATTACGAAAATTCTAAGAATCATCACAGTACACGCATCGCACTGTGGCACAAGCAAGAGAGAAAGAAAGAGGAAGTTTGCAAAAGAAAGAGAAGGAAAATAACTTTGAGGGAAAGAGATATAAAAGTAGAAGTTACCTAACAAACCAAATGACACCTGGATGATAACAGACATAACCATATTTTCAACATTCATCTCAATAGATCCATCGGTTTCAAACCACTGAATAACCTAAGAATCTTGCGAGACTAGTAGTTCTAAACCAGGTTATGTGTAGGGGGATCCCTCCTCTAAAGAAAATAGTCAAAAATCCGGATGTTGGTATTGAATGAAATCATTGTCATGAAAGCAAAGTATAGCATTATATTCAGCTTCTAGTATAACTCCATCGCCCCCATTTGCTATCATTGTCCAAATTAGGGCTTCACTATTAGAGTTCACTACCAATAAAATAAAAATTGAAAGAGGGGACACAATTGAGGTTCAATCTGGTTTTACGGTAAAGATAGAAACAATGAAATGGCCAATAAACACAAACAAAGAAAATGAAGGGGAACAAAGGTAAAAATTTTGGTTCTTGAACAGAAGAAGAAAGAGAAAACAAAGGGGGAAAAAGAACAAAAGAGAGAAAATGTAGAGGGAGAATGATTTGTTTCTTTTGCAGATGTTTGCCGCTCTTCTTTTTTTTTTTNCCATCGGTTTCAAACCACTGAATAACCTAAGAATCTTGCGAGACTAGTAGTTCTAAACCAGGTTATGTGTAGGGGGATCCCTCCTCTAAAGAAAATAGTCAAAAATCCGGATGTTGGTATTGAATGAAATCATTGTCATGAAAACAAAGTATAGCATTATATTCAGCTTCTAGTATAACTCCATCGCCCCCATTTGCTATCATTGTCCAAATTAGGGCTTCACTATTAGAGTTCACTACCAATAAAATAAAAATTGAAAGAGGGGACACAATTGAGGTTCAATCTGGTTTTACGGTAAAGATAGAAACAATGAAATGGCCAATAAACACAAACAAAGAAAATGAAGGGGAACAAAGGTAAAAATTTTGGTTCTTGAACAGAAGAAGAAAGAGAAAACAAAGGGGGAAAAAGAACAAAAGAGAGAAAATGTAGAGGGAGAATGATTTGTTTCTTTTGCAGATGTTTGCCGCTCTTCTTTTTTTTTTTGTAGCGAGATGAGGATTTGTCTAGTCAAACAGAGTTAATTGATGTATGGGCCCACTTATTTCCAAGGGAATGAGCTTGATAGCACATCCTGTTGTTAGGGATTCCCAAGAACTAATATTGCCTCAGCTTGTGACCTAGTATCAAGGGTTCACATCATAGAAACAACCTCTCTGCATGCGGGCTAAGACTGCGTACACTTGACCTTTCTAACCACTGCACTAATAGGAGTCTCGTGCACTAAATCACGTTTTACATGTTACAAAACCCTACCGTTATTTCTGTTTAACTATCAACCTTAGGACACTGGGACCAACCCGAGTTTGAACTGCGAAAAATGCTACAGCAATTGCATTCAATTTGAATTCTCAAACAAATTAAAAATCCACAAGAACGAGGGGTTGCTTTTTATTTATCATACTCTTAGTAATTAGAAGTAATAAATACTCGTAAAATTTATAAGCTGCTCCTAGTCACTACACAAAACAAAGACAAAGGCTCCAATGAATTCTAGTTAACCAAAAGCAATCAATGTTTACTTACGATGGCAATGTTGTTTCCATTAAGTAAAATCTGGTCCAGCTTTGTTATTCGTCGCCCTTCAGTTGTGATTTCACTGTAAAATGGAAAATGAAAGCACAAATAGAATAGATATAAAGGAAGCCTTACAACAAAAAAAGGTTGAGTGGCACTCAAGGGACATAATTTATTAAAATTGCAAGGCTCACATAAAAACAAATAGCCAACACAGACACCCCTATGCCCAACCAAAAAAGAGCTCATTTAGAAAGCAAATAAGATATATGTCCGCCTAGGTTACACTTGAAGGGTCCAAGTTGGATGGAAAATCAAGCTAACGCTTTATGCTTCTCATAAAAAGAGCACAATGAAATTAAATGTAACCTAAAGACATGTGCCAACAGTCTGTCCTCATAAAAATAACACAACTAATGTGATGGCATGCACCCAACCCACAGTGTAAAGTCATCCACCAACTGACACAAGAACACAACATTACTGCATAAACATTTACACCAAGCATGAATCAGGTGTCAGGCTAAGTCTTCTAATGCACTCATGGCATCCCTATTCGAGTCATTCCAGGTTTATAAAGACACCAACAGACCAATTCCACCTTACTCAGCTAAATCTGCAATAATTGCATCTGAAGATTTAGCAAAAACTGAAAACAAATAGCACACTGAGCAAATGTATGATGAAAAATGACATGCATTTACAATGTATGAAGCAACCAATACAACATAAGGAATATGGCTTGTCCAGACACATGAAGGTAGTAGAATGTTGCCAGCCTAGCACTGAGATTAACTCAGGTTGTTTGCAACTCCATAAATAAAAATTACCAAATTCTATGAACTTCCGTCAAAAGTAAACCAACCCGCTCTTCATTTTCTTTTAAAACTCAGTCAAATATTTCTAAATACAAGCCCAAATTCTGAAAGAAATAGCTTCTTTTTTTTTTTTTTTTTTATATTTCATTCTCGATTTGAGACACTAGTTCCCCAAAACATATTAAAGAATGCCAAGGAAGCAAGCTGCGAGAAAAGCCCTTTTTATCTTATTTATAAAGCCTTGAACTCCCAATCTCATTAACGTTCATAACATTTTAAGACATTCTATCAGCGACATCGGTATAGCCTCGTAAGCAGTCTATAATGGGAAAAAAACAGAGAAATTTAAAAATATTTAGGACAATTACGAGAGTACAATTACAAGATCAAATACAAAACCCTAATTTTCAAAACAAACAACATTGACTTAAAAGTACGCATACGCATAGAAAGAGAGAACGGAGGAACCAACTATTCAGTGACATCTTCGAGGACCATGTTAACGTAGACGTCAAAACCCCTGAGAGTGCCGACGAGTTCCTTGTCGCCTTTCATTATCACCCATATCTTTGACCCAGTGCACCGATCTATCAACTCTGTATTCCCAAAAACTACTTTCTGTCACTACCTGACTTAACTTTTTGTGAAAGTATATGGAGTTACAGTCTTAGAGATAACTAAAGAGAGAAGCAAGAGAGAATGGACCTGATGGGAGGAGCTGCGAAGGATTGTTGGCCATGGACTCTCTCTGTCTCGCCGAGACTCCGGGTAGCAATTAGAACAGTGAGCTGCAAATAGGGGTTTTCGCATTTCATGTTTTAATAAGTGCAGACTGTAAATAACATAACACAAGATTACATCTACGCCTCCTAAAATTTCACTATATCAAATAGATCCCTTCAGATACTAAAAATAGCACCTCTGTGTGTTATGCTTTCTTTTATTCAACAACATTAACATGGATAGTTGGTAACACCATACTATTTTTCACACTCAAATTTAAATTTGGATAAAAAATTCTTAAAAATCTTTACCCAAACTCATACCAAATCAAAAAAGCTCAAACTCAAATTTAAGTTAAAAAATAAGATAAAAAACTTGATTTAATATAGACATATTTAATAGAGAAACTCAAATTTACAGGAAGAAAAAACTCAAGTTTAAATAATGACAACTTTAAATTTAAATGAGGATAAAATATGACCATTAAAACTTTAAAGGATAATGAAATCTAACAAGTTGTGATTTATGTAAAAGTTTGCAACTCACTTGATTTGAGTTTCTTTGATTTGGTATGAGTTTTGGGATAACATTTGTGAAGATTTTTAATAATTTTTTTAGGGCAAAATCTACTTCTCTCATCTAACATACAAGTAGATTCCACGAGTTAGAAGGCCGCCTTTAATTGAGAGGGGCCCTCATTTCATGTAACACAAAGAAAAACAATTGTCATTTATAGCGGAAAATCGACTTAATTTTGTGGGAAAGAGCTGTTACTCATAATAGTAGACGCTGCTTATCTGAGAGAACTTGCTTATCTTGTTTCACAGATCTATAATCAAAAAATGACAAGAAAATGCCCTTCTTTAAGATTTCAGATATCTCACCCTACCCCTCTTTAAAAAAAAAGAGTGGAGCGAATATTACTAAAAATTATAGAACTTAGGGAAGAACAGGGATGGAAAAAAACCAAGATTGGGCTTGAATATATCATGAATTAATCTACTATAATTAGAGAATACCTTTTGTTCGCAAATTTTTGAAACAGACGGCAATGTTTTTCTGACTCCTCAAATCGACCATTTGTTGTAACATGCTACGTTTCCTCCCCCATTATGCAAGGCATAGTGCAATGGTACGTCATTTTCTTCATTCAGAGCACGGGTCAAAACATTTTTGATGTAAAAATGATTTTTGAAATAATAGATAATAAAAATATATTTAAATTACTAAAAACATAAGCAAAAAAAATAAATAGAATTAGAAATTCTAAACAAAAAGAATTCTATTTAACATTTTTTTTTCTTTAGATTCTATTTAANGGTAGCAATTAGAACAGTGAGCTGCAAATAGGGGTTTTCGCATTTCATGTTTTAATAAGTGCAGGCTGTAAATAACATAACACAATATTACATCTACGCCTCCTAAAATTTCACTATATCAAATAGATCCCTTCAGATACTAAAAATAGCACCTCTATGTGTTATGCTTTCTTTTATTCAACAACATTAACATGGATAGTTGGTAACACCATACTATTTTTCACACTCAAATTTAAATTTGGATAAAAAATTCTTAAAAATCTTTACCCAAACTCATACCAAATCAAAAAAGCTCAAACTCAAATTTAAGTTAAAAAATAAGATAAAAAACTTGATTTAATATAGACATATTTAATAGAGAAACTCAAATTTAAAGGAAGAAAAAACTCAAGTTTAAATAATGACAAATTTAAATTTAAATGAGGATAAAATATGACCATTAAAACTTTAAAGGATAATGAAATCTAACAAGTTGTGATTTATGTAAAAGTTTGCAACTCACTTGATTTGAGTTTCTTTGATTTGGTATGAGTTTTGGGATAACATTTGTGAAGATTTTTAATAATTTTTTTAGGGCAAAATCTACTTCTCTCATCTAACATACAAGTAGATTCCACGAGTTAGAAGGCCGCCTTTAATTGAGAGGGGCCCTCATTTCATGTAACACAAAGAAAAACAATTGTCGTTTATAGCGGAAAATCGACTTAATTTTGTGGGAAAGAGCTGTTACTCATAATAGTAGACGCTGCTTATCTGAGAGAACTTGCTTATCTTGTTTCACAGATCTATAATCAAAAAATGACAAGAAAATGCCCTTCTTTAAGATTTCAGATATCTCACCCTACCCCTCTTTAAAAAAAAAGAGTGGAGCGAATATTACTAAAAATTATAGAACTTAGGGAAGAGCAGGGATGGAAAAAGACCAAGATTGGGCTTGAATATATCATGAATTAATCTACTATAATTAGAGAATACCTTTTGTTCGCAAATTTTTGAAACAGACGGCAATGTTTTTCTGACTCCTCAAATCGACCATTTGTTGTAACATGCTACGTTTCCTCCCCCATTATGCAAGGCATAGTGCAATGGTACGTCATTTTCTTCATTCAGAGCACGGGTCAAAACATTTTTGATGTAAAAATGATTTTTGAAATAATAGATAATAAAAATATATTTAAATTACTAAAAACATAAGCAAAAAAAATAAATAGAATTAGAAATTCTAAACAAAAAGAATTCTATTTAACATTTTTTTTTCTTTAGATTCTATTTAAAAGATGCTTATGAGGTCCTTATTTAAAAAAAATATAACGAAGTTCAATCTCTTTAACAACGTAATCTCCGTACAAATGAGCTTTCTTTGGCAAGTTTTTATATTTTATGAGGTTATTGTAATTTTTGAACAAAAAAAATTTAAATTATCCATGCAGGACCCAATATACCATATCAAAACACCCCAAAGCACAATAATAGTTAGATATGCAGGAGGGTAATCTAGAATTTTTCCAGTATCTGTAACCAATAGTTTGATCCGTATCTTAGACGAAAGTGTAAAGGGTTAAGAGCAATTTGTAGAATTTCAAGGTGGGTATGTATGCCTGACCCTAAGTTCAGGGCGTCTTGTGTAATTATTTCTTATTTCCTCGGTTATAAATACAAGGAAGACTCTTTTACGAACTTTCCTAATTTCTTCATCCCACCTTCATCGGTTGCGTCTAGTAAATTTCGTTCAAAGATCGTATATATGTATTCACTCTAATTTGTATTTCCAGAGAATTCAACAATCAAACGAATCTCGTAGGGCAAAGCTTGAAGAACTCAAATTCTTCAAATTGTAATTCAGTTCCTTCATGTCCTGTGTTTTCCATATTGGTTATCAATTATTCTGATTAAATTTGACCTTTATTGATGATATTGTTGATGCTACGATAAGNTTTTGTTCGCAAATTTTTGAAACAGACGGCAATGTTTTTCTGACTCCTCAAATCGACCATTTGTTGTAACATGCTACGTTTCCTCCCCCATTATGCAAGGCATAGTGCAATGGTACGTCATTTTCTTCATTCAGAGCACGGGTCAAAACATTTTTGATGTAAAAATGATTTTTGAAATAATAGATAATAAAAATATATTTAAATTACTAAAAACATAAGCAAAAAAAATAAATAGAATTAGAAATTCTAAACAAAAAGAATTCTATTTAACATTTTTTTTTCTTTAGATTCTATTTAAAAGATGCTTATGAGGTTCCTTATTTAAAAAAAATATAACGAAGTTCAATCTCTTTAACAACGTAATCTCCGTACAAATGAGCTTTCTTTGGCAAGTTTTTATATTTTATGAGGTTATTGTAATTTTTGAACAAAAAAAATTTAAATTATCCATGCAGGACCCAATATACCATATCAAAACACCCCAAAGCACAATAATAGTTAGATATGCAGGAGGGTAATCTAGAATTTTTCCAGTATCTGTAACCAATAGTTTGATCCGTATCTTAGACGAAAGTGTAAAGGGTTAAGAGCAATTTGTAGAATTTCAAGGTGGGTATGTATGCCTGACCCTAAGTTCAGGGCGTCTTGTGTAATTATTTCTTATTTCCTCGGTTATAAATACAAGGAAGACTCTTTTACGAACTTTCCTAATTTCTTCATCCCACCTTCATCGGTTGCGTCTAGTAAATTTCGTTCAAAGATCGTATATATGTATTCACTCTAATTTGTATTTCCAGAGAATTCAACAATCAAACGAATCTCGTAGGGCAAAGCTTGAAGAACTCAAATTCTTCAAATTGTAATTCAGTTCCTTCATGTCCTGTGTTTTCCATATTGGTTATCAATTATTCTGATTAAATTTGACCTTTATTGATGATATTGTTGATGCTACGATAAGTATTTATGCTGATGTATCTAATAAGGAAGAATCTTTTTTGGGTTTTCTAGATAAATTAGGGTTAGGGTTAGGTTGTTGTTGAATTTAGGGGAGGCAGGGGGGAAGGTTTTGGTTGTATTTAGGGCTTCTTGACACAAGAACAAGCGAGAAGACTTGAAATCCAGGAGACCCTTTGGATCCAATAATTGAGGATCAAATGGATCCTGGTGAAAATTTTATGGGTGTGCCAATTTATTTTCCTGGGTTTTCTGCGTTTAGAAAATTGATTTTTATGTGATAGATGATCGTAAGATGTGTGGGTGTGGGTTTAATTTCCTTTTTATTTGAATTGTTGGTTTTTTTTTTTTTTTGGTATTTTAGGTAAGGTTTTGGGAATTGTAGGGTGTAGGCCTGTTTATGGATCCTACCTGATTTGAAATTGTCGATTATATAAATATGTCTCTGTTGAATTCATTTTTTTTTATAGATTTGGAATTTGAATATCCAGTAGGTGACACAGTTATAAATTTCTATTAGACATTGATATTCAAATATATGATGAAATATGGTGATCATTAGATGAGATTGAGATGGATTTTAGATGCAATTTGCTAAAGTTTAGCTCTAATTGAGGTATACGGATCAATTGGATTTTCAAATCAGATTTCCAATTTTAATGGATTGACTGTGAAATTCAAATTGTCGGATAGTAGGATCAGAGTTTTCAAATCTGATTCGGTTTCAAGTATGATAGCTTGAAATCTGATGAGTTGACAGGCCTAGAGGGGTGTAGTATTTGGATGATGTCATACCCCTATGATGCTCCACTCGTGCATTCAATTGGGAAAGGATTATATATCACTCATAGATTTTTTTAGAGCATACAGTAAAATGTTTTTTTTTTGGTTTTTTGTCAGTTTCATGGTATTCATATTATATCTTTTTATTTTTGGTGGCTAATCTTTGTTAAAACAGAGTTATAATGATCTTTCTCTTGTTTTGGCTCCTTATACATGAGAAAATTGGGATTGTTATAAAACATTTGTAGTACTCTAAATTACTCCTAGTTTCTTGATCAAGATTTTATGCACATGACCATCGCATCTGTTTTGCGGCATAACTGCAGGTTTGAGGACTCTGGTGGCAGTGCCTCAAGATGCAGTCACTAATTCATTATTCAAGGTTGCGTTTATTCACGATTTGTTTGAACATGCTTTACTGAATTACATATTGAGTGATTGGACCATTTAATCAGGGCTTAGATTCCATAATTTTGATTTGCTGACTTTGATTGGCCACCATTGTCATAAATTTCAGAAGCTCACAGTGCGATTGCCTTATATTGGTGAGTATGCATTTAGTAAATGATGCTTCTGTTTAATTGTGACTTTTTTTTGCTCTTATGATCTGTTTCCAGTAAAGAGGTATCTTGGTATTGTATTCTTGAAAGTTAGTGTATGTTGGATTTTATTATATCCTCAGTTGAATGTTTTTTGTTACACTTCATGACAAAGTTGTGTAGACCCCCCTTTTCTTCCTTGTGGGTTAGCATTTTTTTATATTATTTCATCATATTCATATGCAGCACGACATGAGTGATGGACTAATAGATTGCTATGGAAAGGGGAATTGTTACTCGGTACCAACCACTTATTTTATGAAGTGGTACTATGTGGGCACATTATTTGGATTACTTACTGGTGTAGTTAATTTCTGGTGCAAGAAGCTAATGGAAGATGAGTGAGTATGCACTATATCCTTTATTGCAGTTCTCTGACTTTGTTAGGTTCTAAATTTCATCGCTAGCCTTAAAAGTTCCACAACTGAAGCAAAAATAAGGAGGAGAATATGCATACTGGAATTCAGTTTATTGGACTTGAGATGCTATGTTTGAGATTTTGGGACCTAATTTAAGGATTTATTGGACAAGTTGTTTTGGCTAGTTCGAATTGATTACACAATGGAGTTCCAGAATCAATCTACTGTAAATTTAATTTTTTAATTTTGAATTTAATTGTTTTGGAGCACAGCAACCAAATAATTTTGTGGGAATTGGCAAAAATGTGTTTAGAAGGATTATGGTGCCTTTTTATTAGATAGCCTGGTACTTAATTACACTCTTAGCACATTCTACCTTATAGTTTTTGCAAGTTTAGAAGTTAGGGATTTAAGTTCTGTTCTTTAGATTAGATTAAGTTCTACTGATGCTGGCACGTGTGTGCCTCCCTTCACCTCCGTAATTTAAATGGTGGTTATTATGATGTTCTGGTCATACTTTCCGCTGGAGAAAAAGTTACTTCTTGTGGTTACGGAGGTATTCAGTATTTTCTGATTAACTAGAGTGAAAACGGTTTATGCAAAAGGAGAAAATTTTATGGCAAGAACTTGGACATGTTTGGAGCAACATGTGTAGCAGGAAATTTCAAATTACCTTGAATGGATATGGTTGACACCACTTTTGTACTTTATATCTTGTTTTTTTTTTCATGTTGATTATTAGTTTGTAAGAGGGAGGCTCAAGTTTTATTTTGTTTATTTGGAGGGGTAGGATTGGGAGGTTGGTGGAAGATGTGGTATCAATAGGTTTGAAGCTCATGTAATTGACTATCTAAGTGTTTCTGTGCGGAGAATTTGTGTGTTTCTTGACTGATTTCTTGCGAGGATGAGATAAATCTCTTCCACCTCTTCTTCTTTCTTCTCCTCTTTCTATTCTCTGATTTCTTAGCTTAGTAGATGCTTTCTTGTAGCCTCTTCATCCTTCGTCAAATAGTGTCAACATCATGATCAAGCCCACTGAGACACTGGTTTTAGTTTTGATTGATGGGCCAATCACTCAAGACAACTTAACATGTCCTCATATCAACTAGAATTGGGCAATTTCTGGCAATTTTCAGGAGTGCTGTGAACTGAGGGAAAAGTCCTTTTTGTAGACTACTAGATTCAATTACAGATCTAATGTCTGTAAGGTGGACTGTTTTTGATAATAATGTCAGTTCTTGATTTGCTGGGTGGCCTAACAATTGAATTATAAGTACAATTTTAGACTGTTAGGAAAGAGGACAGATGTAGAAAGATATTTGTATGCTTTGTTTGTTTTGATGCAGATTATTCTCTAGGAAATGTCTTAAACACTTTCCCGTTTTGCTCATGCAATGGATAACTGACAGTTCCTTTGAACGCCAATCATTTTCCTAATGAACACTCAACTTATATGCAAAATATTCGACAAGTATATACTTAACCACAAAACACATATATGCACACACACACACACACGTGCATAGCACATACAATGTTTACATTTAGATAAGTTGACTAAAATGCATATTTATACTCATTTATGTGCATGTTCATTTATAATTTATCATCCTATTTGTTTACTACTATGAAGTACATATATGTGTATTCATATTATTGTTTATTTTGGTGTTTTTCCAAATTCTATTTTTATTTAGCATAGAAAGATCATCTTTCAAAAAGAGATCCAGAAACTGGAAAATAAGGAGGAAAATGATTTTTTCANGCTGAATTACATATTGAGTGATTGGACCATTTAATCAGGGCTTAGATTCCATAATTTTGATTTGCTGACTTTGATTGGCCACCAGTGTCATAAATTTCAGAAGGTCACAGTGCGATTGCCTTATATTGGTGAGTATGCATTTAGTAAATGATGCTTCTGTTTAATTGTGACTTTTTTTTGCTCTTATGATCTGTTTCCAGTAAAGAGGTATCTTGGTATTGTATTCTTGAAAGTTAGTGTATGTTGGATTTTATTATATCCTCAGTTGAATGTTTTTTGTTACACTTCATGACAAAGTTGTGTAGACCCCCCTTTTCTTCCTTGTGGGTTAGCATTTTTTTATATTATTTCATCATATTCATATGCAGCACGACATGAGTGATGGACTAATAGATTGNTTATTTAGCATAGAAAGATCATCTTTCAAAAAGAGATCCAGAAACTGGAAAATAAGGAGGAAAATGATTTTTTCATGTGAAAAATAATATATTAGGAACACATTTTACATCAAAACAAATGGGGCGACTGCATCATTTTTTGGAATGTTTTTGAAGAATTGTGGGGATTAATTCATGGTATTGTAACATCAGTTTTGGTTCCTTCTTCGAGTTGTTTGTATTGTAGGTCCAATTGAGTAGTTTAACATTCTTTCTACTCACAAAAACTCAAGGTTATGATGGCAGAACTCCTTGGAATTTATGTGGTGCAGTCATAGCTTCTGCTGCCATGTCTGACCACAAAGTTCATTTGTTCCATTTGTTTNATGGAAGATGAGTGAGTATGCACTATATCCTTTATTGCAGTTCTCTGACTTTGTTAGGTTCTAAATTTCATCGCTAGCCTTAAAAGTTCCACAACTGAAGCAAAAATAAGGAGGAGAATATGCATACTGGAATTCAGTTTATTGGACTTGAGATGCTATGTTTGAGATTTTGGGACCTAATTTAAGGATTTATTGGACAAGTTGTTTTGGCTAGTTCGAATTGATTACACAATGGAGTTCCAGAATCAATCTACTGTAAATTTAATTTTTTAATTTTGAATTTAATTGTTTTGGAGCACAGCAACCAAATAATTTTGTGGGAATTGGCAAAAATGTGTTTAGAAGGATTATGGTGCCTTTTTATTAGATAGCCTGGTACTTAATTACACTCTTAGCACATTCTACCTTATAGTTTTTGCAAGTTTAGAAGTTAGGGATTTAAGTTCTGTTCTTTAGATTAGATTAAGTTCTACTGATGCTGGCACGTGTGTGCCTCCCTTCACCTCCGTAATTTAAATGGTGGTTATTATGATGTTCTGGTCATACTTTCCGCTGGAGAAAAAAGTTACTTCTTGTGGTTACGGAGGTATTCAGTATTTTCTGATTAACTAGAGTGAAAACGGTTTATGCAAAAGGAGAAAATTTTATGGCAAGAACTTGGACATGTTTGGAGCAACATGTGTAGCAGGAAATTTCAAATTACCTTGAATGGATATGGTTGACACCACTTTTGTACTTTATATCTTGTTTTTTTTTTCATGTTGATTATTAGTTTGTAAGAGGGAGGCTCAAGTTTTATTTTGTTTATTTGGAGGGGTAGGATTGGGAGGTTGGTGGAAGATGTGGTATCAATAGGTTTGAAGCTCATGTAATTGACTATCTAAGTGTTTCTGTGCGGAGAATTTGTGTGTTTCTTGACTGATTTCTTGCGAGGATGAGATAAATCTCTTCCACCTCTTCTTCTTTCTTCTCCTCTTTCTATTCTCTGATTTCTTAGCTTAGTAGATGCTTTCTTGTAGCCTCTTCATCCTTCGTCAAATAGTGTCAACATCATGATCAAGCCCACTGAGACACTGGTTTTAGTTTTGATTGATGGGCCAATCACTCAAGACAACTTAGCATGTCCTCATATCAACTAGAATTGGGCAATTTCTGGCAATTTTCAGGAGTGCTGTGAACTGAGGGAAAAGTCCTTTTTGTAGACCACTAGATTCAATTACAGATCTAATGTCTGTAAGGTGGACTGTTTTTGATAATAATGTCAGTTCTTGATTTGCTGGGTGGCCTAACAATTGAATTATAAGTACAATTTTAGACTGTTAGGAAAGAGGACAGATGTAGAAAGATATTTGTATGCTTTGTTTGTTTTGATGCAGATTATTCTCTAGGAAATGTCTTAAACACTTTCCCGTTTTGCTCATGCAATGGATAACTGACAGTTCCTTTGAACGCCAATCATTTTCCTAATGAACACTCAACTTATATGCAAAATATTCGACAAGTATATACTTAACCACAAAACACATATATGCACACACACACACACACGTGCATAGCACATACAATGTTTACATTTAGATAAGTTGACTAAAATGCATATTTATACTCATTTATGTGCATGTTCATTTATAATTTATCATCCTATTTGTTTACTACTATGAAGTACATATATGTGTATTCATATTATTGTTTATTTTGGTGTTTTTCCAAATTCTATTTTTATTTAGCATAGAAAGATCATCTTTCAAAAAGAGATCCAGAAACTGGAAAATAAGGAGGAAAATGATTTTTTCATGTGAAAAATAATATATTAGGAACACATTTTACATCAAAACAAATGGGGCGACTGCATCATTTTTTGGAATGTTTTTGAAGGATTGTGGGGATTAATTCATGGTATTGTAACATCAGTTTTGGTTCCTTCTTCGAGTTGTTTGTATTGTAGGTCCAATTGAGTAGTTTAACATTCTTTCTACTCACAAAAACTCAAGGTTATGATGGCAGAACTCCTTGGAATTTATGTGGTGCAGTCATAGCTTCTGCTGCCATGTCTGACCACAAAGTTCATTTGTTCCATTTGTTCCATTTGTTTTGAGCTATTTTAGAATAGAACTGGTATGCTGACCGTTTGAATGTTTTAGTGGCATACTACAGTGCACGTAGATGGCTAGTAGGAAACGAAGCATGTCAAATGATGCTGATATCCGTGGTCTCCACAAAGAATGGGATGATGCTTCCTGTCCCATCTGCATGGACCACCCACATAATGCTGTTCTTCTCTTGTGTAGTTCCCATGAGAAGGGTTGCCAATCATACATTTGTGACACAAGTTACAGGCATTCAAATTGCCTGGACCGATTTAAGAAACTCAGAGATGAAAACGAGAACAGTCCCTCTCCACCCAACTTGTTGCACAGAAACCAGCAGAGTTCTATCGATACTTCTAGTGGGAACTCAGGCTTGAGGACAACGGTTTCCTTGACTGAAGCCTTTGGGAATCACTTTCTAATAGAAAATGGCACTTCAGCTGCCAGATTGCCTGGAGGATCAGGAGAAAATAGCATACATGATGCAGGGAGGGATTTGGAAATGCAAGAAGGCATTTTAGGAAGAAGAGACCCCGAATCTTTACAGGAAAGTATTGATATTGAAGAAACTAATGCTGGACATTCATCAGAATCAAAATTGAATTTGAGATGCCCCTTGTGCCGCGGAAGGGTACTGGGTTGGAAGGTTGTAGAAGAAGCTAGAAAGTACCTCAACCTGAAGCCTCGAAATTGCTCTCGCGAATCATGCTCGTTCTTTGGTAACTATAGAGAATTGCGTCAGCATGCTAGGAGGGTTCACCCTACAGCCCGACCTGCTGACATCGAGCCCTCCAGACAACTTGCCTGGCGGCACCTTGAGCACCAGAGGGAATACGATGATATTGTCAGTGCTATCCGCTCTGCTATGCCAGGTGCCATTGTGCTTGGAGACTATGTTGTTGAGAATGGAGACAGACTATCAAGTGAAAGGGAAAGGAGTTCAGGTGAAGGTAACCGGCCTTGGTTGCCTACTTTTTTCTTGTTTCAGATGATTCGCTCGATGGACCCAGTCTCTAATACAAGGGGTGGCAGGTTGGGGGCTTCGTCAAGACTTCGCCGGCAACCAGGAGCTTTCTCTCGGCGCCGGTTTCATTGGGGGGAACGTCTGTTGGGTATTCAGGAGGATGACAGCGACAACGACGGAGATGAGAACAACACAGAGGATAATCTCGATTCCAACTTATTGCGTGATATGGGCGAAGATGTGTCTCCACACCCGAGAAGGCGTCGGCGGTTGACACGTTCTCGGTCAGATGATGATCAATCATAGATTGCCACCACAGTTCTGGTAAATTCCTCCTGTTGGACTCAAACTTGGTCAAAATTTTATATAATACAGTTTTCATGCCTATTGCCATCGCCTGACTTTTTTGGTGTTTTTTCACGTTGTTACCATTATGGGTAGACCGCCTCTTTGTAAACAGGACCGTGCGCTTTCAGTACCGGGATTTCAGAATCCATCCTCATTAGCTTAGAGCCAGCAAACGGTGACAGGGCAAGTTATGGCATGAAAATTCCTCTATGTGGGATTGGATTGCAGTGTATGAACTCTTCCCTACCCGGGGGGGGGGGGGGGGGG